AGGCGACCTGGCCGGGTAGCGTTTCCTTGGCGTTGGACTTATTATTACCATCGTCGCCACCGCCGTCAGGCTGTTTTAGTGTTGGCAAACGCACACCGCCACAAAACGCAGGTCGCAGTTTGTCCCTGCTGACCCAGCTTCGGCTCGGAGCGCCCACGGCCTCAGCCGACGCTCCTCTCCCGCCTTTGACGGAGAGAAGCCGAGTCCGCGTACCCGCGAGGCCTTGGTCCTCCGCAACAGAAAGCCAGCGCCTTACTCTTTCTGTCCTTTCTCCGTGTCGCCTCCTTTGCCCATAGTTCGGGCTCCAGGAGGAGCTCAAGGAGGAAGGAAAAAGGAAAGGAGATGTGGCCAGAATCTGTGCCAGACAGCGGTGGGGAGAGTCAGGCCCCCTGTTTGCCCTGCGCAGGGAGCCAGCGCCTGGGTGCGGGCTGATGGCTGTGCTGCAGGCCGGGAGGCGGTGGCCGTGGGGCGGGTCCTGACTAACTGCCCCCTCCCGTGACAGATGCCATTGAGGGCTGCACGGCGGTCGGTGGGGGCGTCCAGCCCTACCTATAGAGGGGCCTGCACAGCACAGCAATGCAAGTAAGTGGGCCTGCCGTCCGCCCAGCCTGGGGATCTCGCTGACGGCGAGCTGCTCGCTTCTCGCTTCTCGTCATGGGGGCCGCGGACAGAGCATTGCAATGTTCTCGATCCTTTTTCCTTTAAGCGGCAGCGGATGCCTTCTCTTGCATAGAGCCCCTCCCTTTTGCTTAAGTCCTGCTTTGAAGCATCGCTCCTTAAGCGGAGTGAGCATGTGTGTGCTGGCTTCTCAGTCTGGGGACGTGTGTGCAGTGCGCTGGACACAGCACAGGCATTGGCTTCCATGAGCGGCTGCTCCTGAAACGTGGGTGTCAGAGGCCTTTCTGGGCGGTGTCTGTAGAGTGAGACTGAGAGACAAGAGGCATGGTCTGTTCCCAGGCGTCCCCTGTGTCCAGGTGGCCTATATAGGACCCTGCAGTTTGCCAGGCTCACAGCAATAGTTCGAAAAAAATGCCAGTTTTACAACGAGGCAAAATTACTAAATCACAGGTCTCAAAGGCGGGAAAGAGCCAGAACCGGTGCACACTGACTCATTTTGAGAACGTTTTGATATTGGCGTGCAACTGAAGGATTTGGTTTTTTCCTTGGTCCGCAGGTAGGTGTCACAATTGCTTTGGAAAAAAAGTCAGCAGGCCGTTCTCTCTTCCCAAGTTCATAAATAAACAGATAGGAAAAGCCGCTCTCACCCCGACCGAGTCTTGTGCCACTGTCATGGAGCCACGAACACTGTCAGCCGCAAACTAACGGAACGGACTTTTGTTGGATATATGTGAATTTGTTGGCATAGTATAGCTTCCCCAATGTATGTGTGACTTTTAAAAACAATCTTTTTTCTCAGGATATCTTGAATTGATCACTTCATTGCCACGGTATATATAGTCTGTAGGTGTGATAGGATTTACTGTAAAATTTATTTGTAAAAGATGTACACAGTAGAAATAAAACGTGATTGAAGAACTCGAGTACTTAAGAAGTGGAAACAAATTTGATATTTATTTTTATAATGATATAAAGCTTCTAGTAATTTATGCAAGTTGTATTGCAATGGAATCTAAACTTTTTGTAAATAAATTCTGCCTGGTTTTTATTTGAACATTGCTGGTTATACAATCTTTGTTGGTTGTCTAACAATAATTCTTTACTAATTTATATCTTAAATTGTAAATAAAAGCAGACTAGCCTACAACCACGTGGTGTTCGGGGCGCCTCTTTCTGAGATGAGAGATTTGGGTAAAGAGTCCCTACCCCAGATGACCTGACCTCAGACTTTTTAATGAAAATGTGTAAAATAATCTCCTTCTGTTCGCTCATTAAAAAAAAAAAAAAAAAAAAAAGCAGATGGACGAGAAATGCATAGTAGGGAGACAGGTGTGTCTTAGGTTATTTATATGCACATGTATTGCAAGAAAATTCAAATCTCGTGCTCTAAATATGCATTTACTTGTCAGTGTAAATTTTTTAAAACTTGGGAAAATAAAATGACCTGACACCCCTCTGCGTTAGGGTCCATTTAATATTTATTTCTGGTGCTGTCTTACGGAAAGCTCCTCAGTAAACTGGAAAATTGCGATAACGTGGGTAATAGAGTGATCCCCCCTACACGCACACACCCCATAAATTACTGATAGAAGTAAGTGCTTATTTTAAAGCCTGAATTATCCAAATTGGCATAGACGATTCAGATTTATTGAATGACTTCTTAACTCTCCTTTTCCTATAACTCACATTAAACACCAGGGGAAAATCTGGGAGGAGAAGATTTATTTTCCTCTCGGTGGCCCGCACCCTGGGGGCAAAGAAAAGTTTAAACACCCTCAGCCTATTGCCTCGTTATTGTGTTACTCACTATCTAATTATAGGACAAGTCTAGAATTTGTAGTCAAGTAACATCTTTCCTTTGATTAGTATCACAAAAGCAGCAAACCTGTCACTTTAATTTTCAGCAAAATTATATGGATATCCATATAATATAATTTCAGAAAAGAAATGAACAATCATTTATTTCCTCTCCAAAGATAAATTGAGTGAATATAACTTACGGTTATAAAACAAGAATAATAGCTTCTCAGATTGCCCTTTAATCAATCATACACTTATTTTTCAAGAGGTTCATCTATTTTATTCCGTGATTAATAATACTGCAGCCTGAGCGCATTATTGCATCCCAGCGGGGGACGTCCCGGATGCTTTTAGCTGCTTTGGAATGGTCAGTTGGGGTTCATTATGGGCTGATATTGAACAATTTATAAAATCTTGTCTAAACATCTGCCAGCTCCGATAGGCCGACGTGTCTGAGGGTGGGAAATTGCTGGACCAGTTGATATTGACAAACGCATCTCCCTCCAGTGGCTTTTTGTGCCCTAGAAATTAGTGGCCTCTTGCTGGGGTCTTGTTAGAAAGGGTATTTGAAAGTAATCTTAGGGACTTGAGGCAAAGCCAGGGGACTGTGAACTGGACAGGGAGCCAAGCCGGTGGGGGTGGGGGGCGGGCAGGGGGGCCGTTCATGGTTTGGGGCAGAAAAGGTTTCGGTTTTCTGTGACTGCTTAGGCCTTTTGTCGGTTTCGAGTAAATAAGCGTTTGGAGGTCAGACGTAAAGTGAATCTTCGGGTAGAAAACCATTTTCCTCTTCTTCCTGCCTCCTCCGGTAATAGACACGGAAGTGTTTGGAGCTGAGCTCTCCCGGGACCGAGAAGGCCGTTCACACGGCAGCCTGGACACCGTGTGGCAGCAGCTGGGAGGAAGCGAACGCCAGTCAGTGGAAGTCAGAGGGAGCGGGCAGCTCTTTTGCTTGTTGGAGATTTTAGACATAAGACCTCATAGAATTTCTGCGAAGATAATGATGTTTTCCCCTGCAGATAGCGTTTCAGATTGCAATGCGAAGGCGTTAAGTAGTTGGCTTTTATTAATATCAGCCACGTTTTCTAAACCAGCAGGGAATGCACTGCGCACGGCGGCGATAGCTCTGTTATACGTAATATTATAAACTGAGCATTTTGAAGACTTTAGTGAAGAGGACGAGAGTTAACAATATTTAACAAATGAAACACTGAAATCCCACACTCCCTAATTAAGATACAGCACCGGAGACTCTTCCTCTCTTCAAACGTAGACGATGCGAGTAGAAAACCCAAGCAAAAATTGATCTCCGTGCACATGTCAGAAATTGAAGCCTGGATGAAAGCCACCTCCCTTTGGAACAGGAGATTGTGTTTCCTGGACATGTGATACGGCCCCGCGCAGGCACACACCCCGCCGGTCCCCCTCTCCAGGGCCGCGCGCCCCCTTCCCTGGGTGACACTCACAGCGGCTCGGGCGATGAGCCCGGGCTAACGCATCTTCTTCGATGTTTATATGCTCAACAAATCATCAAAGACTTCCAGAACTCACCCCCCTGCCTCCTGACCTGGCTTTCTTTCTGGAGAACTTGATTTTTTAAGTGTACGCTAAGAACATAAACCCTGCAGGTGTTTAGAGGGATCTTTTTAAAGAAACGCAGAGTGATTTATGGGCTGTTCTCTGTGCAGATTCTTCTTTAAGATGAAGGAGGAAGGAGGGGTTTATCCTTCGTTGGGGAAGGAAGTCAATGGGGTCGGGGTTTTTATTGCTGCTTTACAATCTACTTCATCAAAAATTAAGTCGCCGGCCACGACAGCCTCGTGCAGTTGTTCGCGGAGGCGGGGACACGGGGCACCCGGGGCCGCGCGGCTGCG